TTTTACTTGTATTAACAGGTCATTGTCGAAGCGTAGTTTACGCACGGTTACCGTGTTCTACGCATTCACAACATGTTCACAGCGGTCGATATCCACGCTGTATCATATAAAAACGATTACCAAGATTCGTTACGCAAGACCAAGTTTTCAATTAGTTGCATTTTGAAGGGGTGGGCGCTTTGCCGAATGTGACCCCAAATATAAAAATTGTGCAAAAGTGGGGGGTGGGCGCTTGCCCGGGCATGGGCGCTAACGCGGTCGAGTACGGTAATAGGAAGTTGTCAATCCCAGGAATTTAACTATGGAATCATAGGACATCATTCTCTACATTTTTAATATGTCTTTCTATCGTAAGGGTGGTGATCATGCTTGTGAAACCATACAAATATAACAAATACATTTAACCTTATGTGACTACAGCTAATAACATGTTAAAAAATTAATATGGTACTGTGAATAAACAAATTGTTTCAACTTACTTGCTTCCTTAAAGAATCATTTGATTTTTTCACAATATCAAAATTACTTGTCACTCGTTTCGACTCTCGAATTTTATTTTTCAATACTTCTTCCATGTGTTCAATCTCGGCTTTATGCTCCTGAAATATGTACAATGATTATTAACAATTTGGACAGAGTAACAAAAAAACTTCAGTTTATAGTACACCAAGTTTGAAGTGATCAGTACCACACACACTGCATATAGCTTGTCAAAATGACCACCTCACTTTTTGAACTTTTTTCATCTAATCCTATTCAGTCATATTATTTGGATTCTCAATTTAAACCAAAAATAAGATTCACAGAAAAAAAAAATTGTTTTACAATTTTTTTGTTATCATGCACTGAAATTGTTTGATGTAATATACGATGGCTCAGCAAGTCATACATACACACAAACATCATTCAAAGAATCGATATATTGTTCGGAAGTACCTCTTCTAATATCATCCATCGTCTATTGACTTCTTGTTGTGCATTTTTCAACATTAAAGCTTGTTCTGTTTTACTAGATTGTTCTAACTCTTCAAGAGCCTGTTCCCGTTCGTCTAACTGTAGTTCTCGTTCACGCAAGACAGCACTTTCTCTCTGTGAAAGACAAAGACAACATGATTAGAAAATGTCCATCATAGCATAGTTTCCATGATTATATACATGGAGACATGAAAGCTAAATTAATAAAGTACTGGTATAAAAGATAGAAAAAAATAGATCCTAAATGTATAGGAGAACTTTAAGGTGGAAACCATACATTTGTTTGTTTGTAAATTTCTATGCCAATGAAAAGTGATACAATGACTACAATGCCACAGAATGCCAACCAGGAATGCCAACCAGGAATACCAACCAGGAATGCCAACCAGGAATGCCAACTATGTACTGAGTAATACTTAAGTTATCGACATCCAAACATATTTCTACATGCTCACTATACTTTTAAAAATGTGCAAAACCATTTACAGAATGTTTACGGGACTTTTGATTTGAAAATAAGTAAACATTAGCATCCATTGTATTTTCAGAAAAATGGAATAAGATCGTGATCAGAAAGAGTACATGATGTCCTCACATTATTCCTGACAAAAATGAGACATTCCCTGTAATGACAAGAGTCCAAAACAAAAATATATCTTACTTGTAACTTTTTATGGATATTCATCAACTCTGCATGTATCTCTTGTACTGGTACTTTAGGTTCATCTCTGTCAATGTTATTCCTTTTTAGTCTACCACTATGATCATCACTAAAATCATCTTCAATTTTCCTCCGACGATGTTTGCTACCGTACATCTCAATAAGTCTGGGTGAGATTCCTGTCAATTGGATATCACTCTCGTATTGCATGGTTTCACTGTCGTCTTCATTGTCGACTAAAGTGTCTTCAATATCTGCGATTAAACAAAGAAACTCTATCTGTCAACAGAAAATATATGCCACCATCTTGTTCTTGAGGTATTTATAAACAAAAACGTTGTTTCATTGGTAAAACTAGCTTTCATCATGTACCAGTGCTGTAGGTTCATTTTTCGGCCACAGGAAAGGTATTTATGAACGCTAGATTGAGATTGCATGAAAGACTCTCCGCCATAAATTTGTAGCTGGGTGTTCCCCGGTCTATACGACTTCTCAGGACTGTTGAGGCCGAATGATCAGCCGAAGGAGGCCAGCCTACTTGACTGTAATCAGGGCTACAACTCCACAGATTAGAACAAATGATTTCCAGATCAAATAGTGATGTGGAAGCATGGCACTCTACTGCATGAGCTAAGCGGGTGAATTGTGATGGAATGCAGTGATACACTATGATACATACATTGTATCGGGTGTGGCGTGTACATAGGAATGATCTTTCAATGACAGTATTATGACAGTTAAAATTCACATACATTCATCTAATTTTTTAATGCTTATTTCAAACTCCAAGTGCCTGTTTATTGAAAGATTATTTAATGGTTAACAATTTACAAAGTTATTTGGTAAAAATTGAAAAAGAATTTTGATTTTTACGTTCAGTATCCATGTTCCCTGTTCTAATTTATAGCTATAACTAAGTTGCATTTACTTTTACCCCAGGCTCTCAGTATCCGACATATTCTACATATACCGGCCGGGTTTTTCTGTCCCATGTATGCTGTGACAACACATAAACCACATTGGAACTGCAGAAAGGCCTCTAAAACTCATCAAATTCACAGGATAACTTTGTTAATGTTCCCCTCTACATACATTAACACATTGCCGTTTTCCCCAATTATTTTGGCTATCCATAGAGGCCTTCAGCAGGCGGTGTGTTAGTAGGAATTAATATCTACTTTCAGAGCCTTGGTCATGTAAACATTTGTTGTAATGAGTACCGTACATTGTAAATGCAACCAATGTGTAAAAGTCATTTGTACTGAAAAGTAGTTACAGGAAAATGTACATTACCTCCACTCAGGTCCAATTCAGTTGTTTTCAAGGATTTCAATCTCTTCTTCAACTGATGTTCGGAGATTTCTAATTTCTTGCTACTCAGCTGGACTATTTTATAAAGTTCTTTTAACGCTCTGTTATAATGTTTTCTTTCTTCATTATTCAGATCTTCAGACGGCGATATAGTCGATACCCTACTGGGAGAACTCTTTGGTGTATCGCTTACTGAAACAAGAAAGTTATCACAAATTTAAACAAAAATCCACAGCATGTACAACAATTGTAAACTGATATTTTGGAGATTTTCTATAGAAGATGATCAATTTGACTACAGGTCTGAACAATCTATTATTTATTCTGATAATCACAACAATAAAGATGGATAAAGCCTCAGGAATATAATTGTATTCTAGTAGATTATTTTCCCATGTCTGACCGCACTGTAAACCGCTTAATTTCCAGTGCTCGAAATGTTTGCGATTTCAAAATTGCCCAACACTGTCATTAAGAGACTGTCTTTGAAAGTCATTGAGACAACACATTGTAGGACCTCAGGGAAATTTTCAATGCTATTTAATTTTGTGATTTTCACTGACTCTCGAAAATTTGATTCTTGCGAAATTAGAGCGGTTCACAGTTTACAGTATTTACTCACTTGTTAGTGTTCAATATTACAACTGTCACTTACCCAACAAAATTTGACAGAAAACATCAGATAGGGAAAAAGATGTTAATATTGTCGGAATATTAAGCAGGTAATATTGCAAGTAGAAGGAAGAAAGAAAAAACAGAAGAAATTATTATCGCTTACTTACACTGAATACTTCTTGTTGCAGTAGGGAGATCTAAGGTGGCTGTTTCCAAACTAGAATGCTTTGTTGTTCCCTAAAAGTAAAACCAAAATACAGTGTTTACACACAATGTTGTGACTATTTTCAGAATTAAATTCAACCAAAGTATTTACTACAACATGATTATTTGATTGATCTATCAAAAGTGAATAGAAAATCGTCAAGCTTCGAAAGTACTAGTACCTCTGATATTTCAGGGCTGCCACTTGTATAGAGTGACATTTTGAGTATCTTCGGTGGGCTCCCCATGTCCATGACATCTCCGTCTTCCTGGTGCGGCGAATAAGCCTGAATTTCACGAATGAATTGTTCCATATTTTGGCGAATAACGCGACCGAAACTTTTCTACGTATCACGTAACTGGTTTCAATCGTTGATATATATACACGGTCAAATCAAACTTGAATTTTAAAAACTGAACCACGATCCAACGTGCCGAAACACGTCAATACGAAGCCGGCGGGCTTTTGTTTTCTAGTCAGTTTTAGATTTGAAAGAATACAAGAGAACTCACGTGTGAGTATTTGTTATTGTGTAGGACTTCATCGCTCATAGGTGTTCATAAAGCGGCAACTTAAAGACAATGGCGCAATGACTTACTAGTAGTTGATTCATTTACGTTAATTGTTGACGACAAATCATTGAACCAAATAGGTTGTGATATCTGACAGCAATCACGATCAGCAACCCCGGAACTTTGAAGTTGTAATAAAGTTGAGCGATATGCAATACAAGCACGAATTAACACTTACCAAAGAATATAATCCACGACTCGCAGTTTCAGATTCATCTCCGCTTGATCCGTACATGTTAAAAAAATGTCCGAAGATCAGAGGCTATCAAAATGCAGGCACCCAACTATTAGCACAACATAAACACTTCTCCAAAGTCCACCATTTTAAATTTTCGAGCCCCCCCCCCCCGACACACAACTAAGTTCTCGCGAGAAGATGTGATATCCAGAAAATAAAAAGTTTTATAGTACAAAATATACTTATAACCATTTAGAATACATAAATTATCTGGGAGCCACTAATATTTATTTCAACATCTGAATGCCAGCTCTTGAATGTAAATAGCAGACAAGGAAATATATTTCTGGAGTAGAGACTTACTAAACTAACATCCATGTACGAACCGCGAGCGTGAAGCTGGGAAGGATTCAGTTTTACGTCAGATTCGCATCAGACTCGTGTCAGATTCATCTATGCATGAACCTACATGTCCGTGTTTGTGTGGCTCAGTTGTTATCTTGACATTAAAAAACAATAATTTTAACTCGTATAAATCAATGAAATTTTTTTTTGTATTTTACAGATGAGAAATAAAAACATTACAAAAAAACGACCACTGACAAACACCGAGACAAGGTTACAGGTTCTGGGCGAGGAAAAACACAAATATTTGTCAACAAGACAATGTTTACAACTTATCAACCTTAAAACAATTCCACTTTTTGTTAAATCGTGCAATGGTATCAGTGTTAAAAGCAATTTCTTTTTTTATTAAATAAGCATTTTTCATCTGGTATTTTACGCTTTAATATCACGTCTGCCTCACATTTTTTACTCCGAGCAAAATAAATATGCTGTTTGCACATCAAAATAAAATGATTCAGAAGAAGACAATCCTTTATTTTATAAAGACCCAAACTTCTATCTCTATCTGATAATAGTACATGTTTGTTTGTCCAGCTTTTCCATAATCACAAACATTTACCCTACAATTCTCTCGTTTTTTGACACGTGATGAAAAGATGTTCAACTGTTTCTGTATCCGCATTGCAAAAAGTACATAAAGAACAGTCTACTACTTGCCATAAACATAAAGTGTTGTTGGTATAAATGATTCTGTGCAAATACCTAAACTGAAAAGCACGTAGTCTCGTATCGACAGTACAATGGTTATACAAGTTATGTGGCAGATTTTAACCATGCGACCAGCCAAACGCTGCAGTCGTTGGTACGATCGCGTGATTACCAGGGATGTAAATACGTGATACAACACGTAAACAATCTACTTATAAAATTTCTGTAATATATGTTTATAATCTCCACCCTAAACATGCAATTTGCTGAAGTTGTTGATTCTAATTTTAAAGCGGGGGAGTCGTCACCTGCGCATGCGCCAGATGGCCATAGCGTGTCATTGTCGGTGCATTGTTTACAAACGAGCGTCTACCCACGAGCCTTTGCGTTTTTAGCGTGTGTTGTTATCGTCGCTTGGGACTCAATTCCCGCTCGTGAGCAGGCGACAACCCTCCCGCTTTAAACAATAGTCTAACAGCGTGTGAACCGAATGTGCGAACGTGTAGTCGCTATCATAACATTATACATGTGAACAAATTCTCTATATTTAATATACACATCGTCGGGGACGGCTGTATACCGACGATGTGTATATAATTGAAGCAGAATACCTTCCCGGACCAAAAACGCCGAAAAACCACTGCTATATTCAATCCACCCTGAATAATGAAATGTTAATATAATCATAAATATCGGTCATGATAATGTGCAGTTACAAAAAAAACAAAACAACATGTTTTGGCCAAATTGTGTAATAAAAATAGGGCAGTTGTACTACTACTACTACTACTACTATTAATAATAATAATATAAACGAGTGATGGTCTATAAATCGAATCTGTCCTGAGTCTGATACGAACATGACGTTAATCTTTTCACGCTCTTGTAGTATAGAAAGTAAACAGTCTAATCAATTTCCCAGGCAGAGTTCTATTACGAATATAACCGCAAGGAACTTTAGGAAGGAGAATGCAGGCTAATCTGTCGTGATTCTTACACGAATATGACGTGAATCTATCACCAACCTCACGCTCATGTAGTGCGCTACCGGCGGTCAAAAGTCGAGTGGTGTTTACCCAGAAGTTTGCCGGTTTCAAAACTAAGTTGATGTCACTGCTAAATTCGACCAATCTTTTGACCAGCCGATATATTGTCTTTTTCCTCCGTCGAGCAAACACCACTCTTGTTTATAAAAGAAACATGTTCTCTCTACAAAACATGTTTTTGTGGATGTCAGCGAGATCACGGATGGTTCCTATAGGTGAGAATAATGATAGTTTTATAATATTGTAGAATTGACATCAAGGGATAGACCATTTGAAATCATGGGGATGGCTGGAAGATCAGTTAAGTGAATTTGCAAGTTATACAAATGTGTTGGCACATCAAGATAACACTTTTACAAGTGATACACTGTCACAGGGAGGGGGTGCAGTCACCCTCCCATAATTTCAAATGTTTGACCCTTAAATTTCCAGATTTAGATGTGACCTGACATGACGCCAGACACAACTATTGTTTTATTTATCTGCAACATATACAATGGTTCTTCTAAGCATTAAATCACCCCTACACATTAATAGGAACGACCCAAGCCCACACAATTTCAGAATATAGTCATAATAGCACTACCAGAAACGTACCAACCATCACCATGTCTGGGGTATCACTTTTTTGTGCACAACATAAACTGCACATACCAGGTCAGTGTGGATCTTTTCATTATGCTATAAATTCCCATTGTTATTCTTGGAGTATGTTTTTTTTTATTAATCATCCCTGTATGTACATATTGAAAGTGGTTAAAATGCTGTACAACGTACCAGTAAAAAAATTATCAGTATTCGTGTAATGTCTGAAAATATCATTTGAGAAAAAATCATGGAAAATATTTGTAAAATAATAATTAACAGAATATGACATATTGCAAAGTCTGCTTCAAGATTATACAGTAAAAATTACATGGATTTCTGTGTGAAAAAATGTATAAATTATTGGAAAATAAGTATGTGCTGTAATAGAATACAATCCTAACATTTTATTGTGATCATTTTTCTATTTTTACAAAATGAGTCACTAAGCAACAGTGTTTCCTCTAATAGTCTAGGGGCTGATTCCTGATATGGCTCACATAAGCTATTTTGTGCAACCGTTATTACATTAAAATGGTTGAATAGGCCTTCTAAAACAACCCCAGTTAGTATGTGGTTCAAAAGTTATTTTCAATATTGGTAATTATACTTAAAATCTTAAATAAAAAAACTTGATCTCACTATTTCAAACCATATACTACATGGAGGTGTTTTAGTAGGCCATTTCAGTAAAGCCATAGATGGATGCGCTGGTGTCCTATGTTTAGGTTTGTAGTGTTCCTGGACTATAAGCTTTGTTTTTGCCTGATTTGTCCTAGTGAACTGCCCTTATTTATTCAGCATTCTTTCTATTTACCTCATCCATTTTCTATTCTAATACACCTATGTCAAATTTTTTTAAAGATGAAATGAAATGAAAATTTGCTAAAAGGG